ACGTAATCTAGCTGTTACGCCAATGATGCCTATGGACAAATTTATTCAATATAATGATATGGCAAATGGTCGATCATCTCTGCTCAACATGCAGATGCCAACGGACATCAGCCGAGCATCGAGTCCGTCGTACGAACGTCCATCCTGGGCAGATGAGTCTCATCCGGCAAACGACTTCGAAGACGATGCGACCGTACTTAAGAAAAGTAAATTGAAGCAGGGTGCCGAGTACAAAGAGGGCGAAGGACAGTTCGTCTGCGACCAGTGCGACAAGACTTTTTTGTGAAACAAAGTTCTCTCGCACGACACAAATATGAACATTCAGGTATATATCTTTAAATTTAACCTATCATCTATTTACAATAAATGTAGGAATGTTTATTCTTTGACACCAATAGTTTATTTAATTTTGGTAATTTTTAATTAAAAACAATGTCATCATATTCGGCAGAAAATTGTTACTAAATTAATTTGGAATATTTAATCTCATAATCTCTGCATGACTCTGCTTATGAGAGCTTACTTATAATTTATTTCGTTACTTACGAGACCAATACCATCATATTTTAAATATTAGCTTTAGCTAGACAATTTACCTAAAGGTTCCTAAAAAATGACGATGGTTCAGAAAATTTTGTTTGTAGTATTAATATATTAAATTTCGTAATTTTTTCATCAACAGGACAACGTCCGTACAAATGCTTGGAGTGTCCGAAGGCATTCAAGCATAAACATCATTTGACAGAGCACAAGCGTCTACACACCGGCGAGAAGCCATTCCAGTGCTGCAAGTGCTTCAAGAAGTTCTCCCACTCCGGCTCGTACAGTCAGCACATGAACCACAGGTTCGCTATATGCAAGCCTTACAGAGACTAGACAGCGCCGGGGCCCTCAAGTGTATTATCACGAAACATTGGAACCAAGTTCTATCGAAACCACGCATGCAATGCCTGTTTCGTGTGATAAATTTCACGTTATCAACAGAGTAGTGAATACCTACAACTGTAATGAATGAGGTGATTCGATTCCATCCGACTCTACTCACGTTGATAACAACTTTACCTCATAGAGTGTTGTTAATGAACGAACAAATACGAGCTGCTGCATAATAATACTCATAATAACAAAGTATTCGTCGCCCGGTATTTTCGTTTCCAAGTTAATTAAGGCCATTGCTCAATGCCATTTATTATATGTAAGAAAACAATTTTGATTCCCTATTTATGATATTGTATAGTGCCAAATGATACCAAAAACAAGTGCCAATGCTATTATTTTATTATAATATTTAAATTTAATTAAGTTTCGTGTAATGGAATCCCAAAGGCCGGTACCTGTAGTATAATACTCTTCAAAAATAGATGTTACGAATATTTTTGTATAGTGTCCATGTAATTAAGATATGAAAACGGCGCCATTGATAAATTAAAGTTTATTTTTTTATTTTATAAATTTATTAATATGTATTGCAATTGCAACTGTCTTTGTAATCATGTTGGGTTGTAGTGTACTTACTTACAATGTATGCAATGAAGTGATATAGTGATGGGCATCCGTTGTTTCTACGTCAATCATGCTATTTTCTCTCTGCGCATCGCAATTCTTTACTGCGTCTTTGACATTGGTTCCATAAACAATTCTTCGTATACCTACGCGTTTTATATCATTACAAATTTATATATTATTGAAACCATCACTAATTATCGTCGCTGTATAACATTTAGTAACTACATGTACCCATTGAATTATATTGGTGTGCATTCTACTTGTTTAGCACAAACATCATCCACTACATATTCTGACACACCAAGTGCTTCCCGGCTCCGAGCTTTATTTCTAAAACAGCATCAGTATTTTTGTCTTAAAATATAAATAGATATCTTCTATATATATATAAATGTCGACGCTATGCCATAAACGTTCCTAGTCGTCAGCTGTTTCCATAATTAAAGTATTGCTTATTCAAATTAGGACGTTGATGGAAGGCGCGACAGTACGTGTAGTTCCAACTTTTTAGATTTCTTTAAATTTTATCGTATGTTGTTGAGACATTCAAAATTGGATAACAATAAAGCGGGCCTGGTGGACGGGCCTGCGCAAGCTTGTCGTATTGTAATGATAAGTGTTTAGATAGTTACAATAATACTTAAGGTAAAAGCATTCCATATTACTCCTATGGGATCTCTCATATGTTTAAAACTTTTGCGGTTAGTCCAAAGATTAGTGTAAGTTGTATATAGAGTAAATGTAAATAGTGTACGCTATTATATGTAAATATGATTACATACGTTAATTGTAATGTAACAATGCATAGTGTATGAACGCGTTACACGACGAATATGTGACAATAATGTGCATCTGTTTAATGAACACGGTAACAATAAGATGTTTTACAATATATGTAACATAAACCTATATGTGTAGTCCTAAAGTTCCATGAGCGTTGTTTGTATTTATATCCTTGTGATTTGTCATTACTAATGTGCAAACTTATTAATAGGTAATTCAATTCGCCTTTAAGAAATGCAGTTTATATAGTTCAGGTACCTATTCCGTGTTACATATTTAATAAGTACTTAATTTGTATTTGTCAGTCTAATAGAATAACAGCTTAGATTATATATGTAAAGCAACAGTCGCCGCTCATCATCATATAGGTACCTGCATGCCTCGTTGTGGGTGGTCGCCCGCACACCTAACTTCATTAACACATTTACTACAGTATATATGATAGAACAGAAAGTTCCTAAGTGAAAATACATTAAGAGATATATAATTATTTCTATATTTTGTAATTGTAAGTAGATAAAATTAATTTTTAAAGGTTTCTAATCAACGAATTACCTAACTTATTGAGAACAGTGTGTAACTACGTGATTTTCATTAGTATACCATAGTTTCATCTGTAAAGGCAGGCATACAGTATTCAAGTGCGGGTCAGTCAACAGTACAAAGTCATGGTGGTGTAGTCATACCTTTTAGGTATACATCCACGCTATCTTTAACTTACACCACAATGTATATAGGTCATAGGTCATAACACTTCTAACAGTATTGTTTGGGCCCAAATGGCTAAGAATAAGACCACAAGTGATTGCCACACAACTGCACCTACTAATAAATTAATAACGTATTAATCAACCTGTTCGAACTGTTACATATTTTAATATTATTATTTTAATATAAGTGACTTCCAAATTGTCATCGGTGGGCTAGATAAACCAAAGATTACTTACATTATTGCGTGATGCGGAACCCTGTAATATATAAATATCCCATCACTAACATTAGTTAGTTTAGTTGTAATTATGTGCCAAAATTATATTTAAGGCTTCAAAGAATTTTATAACAAAGTGAAATTTTATTTTTTACATAAAATGGCATTATGTACTATGGCAATGTTTAGTTACTTGTGCAATACGCATATTGCAGAAAAGTATTTCTTCCTTTTGTATCGTTTATATTATATAACTATTTATAGTTTTAGCGGTAGATGTAAGCCAATGTGAATTCCTATTGCCATAATGTGTTTGTTGTATTTAGTGAAGTGAGCGTATATACTGTGTAATGAACGTTAAAAAACGCGGGCTCGTCCACGACTCTGTGCCACGCCGTTGCTGTACCTACTCTGTGCCTGTTGCCTCAGGTGTCAGTAGGTGACAGCACAGAATCGTGGGCGAGCGGCGCGGCGCTCACATCCTGACGCGAGGTTCACGAACATTTGTTAAAATAAGTACTCTAGATTGTTAAACTTACCCATAGATTAACATGTGTTAAAATATTGCCTATATAAATTATAGTAATTCATTTTACTTGATATTATTATAATGTATATTGAATTTATGAATATTAAAAATATATATTGACATTTCAATGCATTCGTCTATTTTATTTATACCTCGACATACTGGCGTGATAGAAAGGAATAAGAGAACAGCAAACTAAATTGAGCAATCCGCCACATACGTTAAATTATATTGGGTACAATAAATTGACTTGTGACAAAGTTACGTTGTAACAGCACGCGATTCTATTCTTAGACTGTCGAATAGGTAGCTTTTTGTGTGGATGATGGTGCCTGCGCCAACGGCATTTGCTGGCGGGACATCAGTGGAGGATGAAAGGATAAGCAAAAAATCTGGCCAATTAGCCCACTGTGGCGAATTCTCCAGTAATTAAGAGTATGTCTACGCAATAAAATTACTATGTAGATAATCTACAGTATTCGTTCTATTTATAATTCTATATTTAGACATTGCGTCTTTCCTTAACCATGCGCGTTAGCAATACTTTCAATCGAAAATTTGCTATAAAGGTTTATGGTCCGCTTTATACGAATTACTCTGTTATCACAATAAATACAAAGATATTTTATTTGTAATTCTGAAATATTAATGCCTTACACATTTTTAAAAAATTAAGATTGTACATCTTTGATTGTTCATACAAATTAACTAAAAGTAGATCGTTTGTCAAATCTAACTACTCCTTATTGCATCGACAGCGTTTCATCGAGTTTAATTAGTTATTATAGAAAATGTTCATACAGCCTTATCAACGATAAATTTCAGAAGGTACCACGTGAAGGTTGACCTTGGTACATCATTAGCAATGTGGTAATTTTATTATTATTATTATTATTATTTGTATTAGCCTAAGACCTGTGAAAATAGCTATAAGAATGGAAACAAAAGAAACAAATAAAATAAATGCCACAAAATTCTCAGGCGTTTGTTTAAAAAAAAACGCTGTCAATGTCACTGTAACAAACAATGGCTGTATGAGTGCAGTTCTCTTTGCCTGCCATTTAAAGGTTACATAGAACAAGAAAATATTACATTAGTTTTACTTGCTGACATTTCTCATGTACGTCATATGCGCTGTCAAAACAAACCATATTACTACAAGAAATGCTGTCTTGTCTTTTTATTCGTAAATGATGTTAATATTATAAGACTAAATTTAAATTCGGCGTATATTTTACGAGTACCTAAAGCAAAATGGGTGGCAAGGCAAAACAAAGCCAAAGAACTAAAAATAATGTCAGGGTAAGCACGTAAACATTTTTTATTATCACAATATATTCCACGTAATAGTTAATAACGATTTACCCTAAATAAATAGTATTTTTTGGTAGTTTGTTCCGTATTGGAATCAATTTGCCCTAAAATCCAAATCTCAAAACTCCAAAATACTACTCCAAACCATTGTGTAAACACTGTATTGAAAATCTTAATAATTACGCAATAATTTGCAATATAAGCATTATTTTATTAATTAATATTGCAGTTTGTATTAGCTATTTAAGTCAACATATTTTAAAATTACAAATAGTTATGACACTTTTAAGGTTACATTCCCACCATTTTTTATGAGAAGTACAATATTATTTATAATCCGAGATATAAAAATAGTAGAGGTGTAATATCTCATCCTACTCTGATTTACCATACAGGTAGTATATATATACAAATAAAACCTGCATACCCCTTACCTATATAGTTTTATTTGTATATTAACTACCTGTATGGTAATCAACGTCTCTGTGACAGACTCGACCCATTGACTTTGCAGCAAGATATTGCATCTCTGTGCAATTTCTACGCATATATCACGGGGTGTGTTCTGAGGAATTGGTCGGATTAATACCAGCTGCTGAGTTTCACCACCGTACCACCCGCCAGAAACTGGATGAATGGCAGTCTTCCACAGTGCGGTTTTCTAGAAACTTTTTACCTCGCACAACCACATTGTGGAATCAACTTCCAGCAGTGGTATTTCTGAACCAATATGATATTGAAACCTTCAAGAAAAGAGCTTATTCCTTTTTAAAAAGGCAGACAACATACTTGCAATTCCCCTGGTGTTGCGGGTGCTCATGGGCGGCGGTAATCACTTACCATCAGGTGAGCCGCATGCTCGTTTGTCCTCTGTGATAGAAAAAAAAATCATAAATACAGAGTAAGTTTTGGTGAAATTGGTTCTTTAAAGAATTGTGAGCTATATTTTGATATAAGTGTGCCTCAAGGTCTTGTCTGTCTCATATGTACCTTTATTTGTGTATTAAAGTATCAATAAATATTAAAAAATGTAATATTGTGGTACTTTACAAGTATAAGGGCGAGCACAATAGATCTATACAGGTGTCACAAATCAAATCCCCCAATAAATAAATTACCTGTTCAAGTATTACGTAAGCAGAATTATTACAATTATTTACCCCCCCACACCCCTTGTCAGTAAAAGTAAGCAAAGCTCTGACCCCCTCCCCCCCTTCTCACGTAAACATTTTTCAATTAATGTATTGTCTTTTAGCAAAGACAATGTGAGGGTTGCCATTCATGTAAAAAAGTAAATAACTGCTGATGACGTAATCATCATCTAATCTAGGCTCCCCCACCCCCATGTCATCCAGAATAAGCAAAGCAAAGCAAATGCCCCTGCCACCCCATAGTTCTTTCATAATACTTGAATAGCCCCAAAGGTACTTTACAAATTTTTGATACATGTTCATAAATTTAAATTATGCCTACATAAGTTTATGAAACATGTTTACATAATTAAGTACTAATTTAAAATATTCACAGCCTTCAAGCAGTGGTCGCAGTGCGGGACTTTTGAATAATCCAGGGAAGTTCGATCCTGCACCTGCTCATATGGTTGGAGGCAAGAGCATGCCCCCACTGTTCCCGACGTTAGCTACTGTATCCTTGGATCAGGGACTCAATCAGGAGTTCTCCATGTGTGTTAAGAAGCTTAACAAGAAGGATCCCATAACTAAAATAAAGGTTTTCTTTTTTTTAAATTTCATTTTATGCTTATTGTTCAGTTTTTACAAATTATACCTAATATGTACATAAAATTAAATTGTAGATGTTAAAATAAACTTTATTATTCAAAAGTCAGGTCATCATATAGGCTTAATAATTATTTATTTTTACACATTATACATAATACATTAATACATATAATCACAAAAAACAATCATTGTAATACAACCCTGCACATTGAGGTAGCATACCCAAGATACTGGCAGTATTGCCTTTTTAAACATAGGCTAATTCAGATATCATATAATATTTCATTTAATTTTATGCACACTGTTTATTTTACTGATATTTAAATCTCTAATATTATTAATTATAATCAATTTTATTCTAGATTTGACATATCATAAGAGTCTGTAATAGATAAATGAAGATATATTGCTTTTTTTTAATTATGTTATAAATAAGTATATTTATACTGTGTTTTTTAAGATTTAAAAAATCTTGTTGATTTGACTGTTTTTTTTTTGTTTAACCTTTATCTTGTAAATTTGACTCTCCGCAATTAGCGTCTCATCTGGGCTCCCAAATCTTGTGTGTACTATATATGGTCATAGTTAATAATGAGAAAGACATATTTTTGGTTGGGAGGACTGGTCTATTCAGGTTAAGGCCACTGATTAACTAGCTTTTAAAAAAAAAGTAATTCAATTGAGTTTCCTGCCAGTTCTTTTCAATTGGATCTATATACTGGATGGTACGGAAAAATATAATATAAAAAATTTGGTGTTCATAAGTAGCTAATGTCCTACATGAATAAATGATTTTTGAATTTAATATTTTCCTTTTAACATAAGTGTAATAACATATGGTGGTGGTCATTATGTTCACCATAACTTCATTTAAAAATGAATCTAGTTTTTTAATCATACTCAACTTGTTTGAAAACAAAAACATAATAATTTCTTATCAGTACTTGAAATTACTCCAAACTGATGGTAGATTTGATATATCATAAGAGACTGTGACAGATATACATGAATATTTAGATTTTATTTGTACTGTAATAAATTTGATTCCATTTTTGCAGGCATTACAAGAACTAACAGAATTGGTAAACAAGAGTGATGTAGATGAGGTTGAAGCAGTGTTACCCAGTTGGACCCACTTCTATAAAACTTTATCTGTGGATACCGACTGGAAAGTTCGGGAGGCAACACAGGTAAGAATGTATCAATTTTAGAATCTTCTCTTGTATGTTTGCACATACCACTTTTTTATAATACCAGCAGTCGTGGCTACGCGTTTCTGCAGCTAAAGTTCGATTAAAATTTGTTGCAACTTAAAAGATAGGATAGCTTATATCTCAAAGTGCTTCAATTAAAAAGTTAAAAGATAACTAACTAACATTATTAACCTAAAACTAAAAACCTTAAAAATATAATATAATAACTAAAATATCATTACGTGTTATCATCGTCGTCGGTCTCTTATTGTATTAATTTACTGGTAAAGGCTATAACAGAATAGCAGAGAGCGTGGACTCACTGCCTCCTCTGAGTTATGGACCATCTGAGTTTTGTCTCCTTCATTAGTTTTAAGTTTTATTATTGTATGGGAAGCAATTGTATTAGTTTTTGTTTGAGATGAATAAAGATGATTATTATTATTATTATTAAAAGGAGTCGTTTTAGGTAAAGTTCCGTTGATACTGACGTCGTTCCCCCTTTGAATGGCTATTAGTAATAGTTTGTCCGAGACAGCTGCTAACTGTTGGTTCCGCTGTGAGACGGTTGTATGTATGTATGTATGTGTGTGGCGTGTGTGTGTCAGGTAGGCGAGCCAGGCGGCGGTGGTGCGGGCGTGCGGGCGGCGCGTGGCGCCCCACCTGCGACAGCTGCTGCCCGCGTGGCTGCTGGCCCGCCACGACGACCACGCGCCTGCCCAGCTCCTCGCACAACTCTCCCTCAAGGTACTTCTCTATGTACAACTATTTAATACCTGTGCAGGTAGTTTCACCTGCATGAAGTCTATGTGTTAATGTTAAATTCTTATTTATATTTGACCTTAATAAATTAGTGCTAGTTGGTGCTTTTTATTCACATATTTCAACTTGAAAAGTGTGAACTTACAAGGATTATTTAAAAGAGCAACACACAAGTTTCTCACTCGTTCTTCTTGTGATGAGACAGCATTTTAAATGAGCGGTAGATTAAAAAAATTGTTACGATTTTTAAAAAAAAGTGTTTAAGTTAAGTTTATTTGAATAAAGGATTTTCTATCCTATTCCGTTTAAGTAGTTTTTGGATGAAAGAGTAACAAACATCCATCGAAACTTTCTCATTTATAATATTAATAAATATGAATATACTTTTAACTACATAGCTATAGTTTTAAATTACAATGTTTCATTTCAGGACACATTTCCTGAGAAGAAGTTGCCTGAAGTTATTATATTTTGTAAAAATGAAATTATTGCACAACTATTAGATAATCTTATTGGAAATGGTGAATCATTAATCGCTCAGAGGTAAGTACTAAAGTTAATTTATATTAAACTCGCTGACCCATGCAACGTTTCGTTTGCACCACATTTACTTGACATTTATCATTTTATTTCACATAATTAACGTAATATCTTTTTAAATTATAGCCTAAGTGTTATTCTGTTGTATGAGCTATATTACTGTAAAGTTTCATCAAAATCCTTTTCATAAAAAAAGGGACCTAGAATAGATCCCTGAGGAACATCCAGATCATCTATATGTAACTGCTACATATGCGAATCATAATTTGGCGTAGTGATTATTCCGGTTAGTAACAACCGTCTCAAGCTACCGACAGCTTTGGCAGACGCGGGTCGGGTCCAGTGATGGTGGTATGTAAGTGAGGTGGTTATGGTGCAGGATTGCTGACCCGGAGGAGCGCGAAGCGGCGAGCGCGAGGCTCGCGGCCAGCAGTCTGCGGGGCGCGAGCTGGCTGGCCACACACGCGCCGCCGCCGCTCCACCACTGGAGCGACGCGCTGCTGACGCCGCTGCTGCAGCACGCCACCTTCTGGAGGCTCGCCGCGCACCGCCAGGCGCCAGGTACCGCCCGCAGCCTGGTGCGCCGCTGCTGCAGCACGCCACCTTCTGGAGGCTCGCCGCGCACCGCCAGGCGCCCGTCAGGTACCGCCCGCAGCCTGGTGCGCCGCTGCTGCAGCACGCCACCTTCTGGAGGCTCGCCGCGCACCGCCAGGCGCCCGTCAGGTACCGCCCGCAGCCTGGTGCGCCGCTGCTGCAGCACGCCACCTTCTGGAGGCACGCCGCGCACCGCCAGGCGCCCGTCAGGTACCGCCCGCAGCCTGGTGCGCCGCTGCTGCAGCACGCCACCTTCTGGAGGCTCGCCGCGCACCGCCAGGCGCCCGTCAGGTACCGCCCGCAGCCTGGTGCGCCGCTGCTGCAGCACGCCACCTTCTGGAGGCTCGCCGCGCACCGCCAGGCGCCCGTCAGGTACCGCCCGCAGCCTGGTGCGCCGCTGCTGCAGCACGCCACCTTCTGGAGGCTCGCCGCGCACCGCCAGGCGCCCGTCAGGTACCGCCCGCAGCCTGGTGCGCCGCTGCTGCAGCACGCCACCTTCTGGAGGCTCGCCGCGCACCGCCAGGCGCCCGTCAGGTACCGCCCGCAGCCTGGTGCGCCGCTGCTGCAGCACGCCACCTTCTGGAGGCTCGCCGCGCATCGCCAGGCGCCCTGACGGGCCTCCTACCTCGCACAGTCCCTCAACTTTTCCCTAACAAAGTGATATCTCAAAGAGGAGACATGCCCTGGCCTATGTGGTCACACAGTGATGGAAAAAATTAGCATACTTATGCTAAGAAACAGCACATTTGGATGAAATTTAAATAATAATTCCCATTTTATGTAGATTACCTTGTAATAAATTTGTTTTTACAAACTACGTCATTTTATTTTTATTATTTTTTCACTTTAAAGGGCTTATGAGACATCCTGTATAACGCTACAGTGGTGAGGTGATAAACGCTACAGATTTTGTAATACTTACAAGTCTTAATTAAAAAAAACTATTTTGATTATTATAGTGAATGTGTAACTAAAAGACATGTACAATGTGACGCAGGGCGGCGTGGTTCTCCGCGATGGGCAGTTTTGTGGAGCGGTTCAAGGACAACTTCGAGGCAGCACACGGCCGGAAACTGTTGCGGCAGGTGCTGGCTGCCACGGACCGTGCCACGCCCGTCGCGCCGCCACTCTGGGACTGTCTGCTGCTGATCATGCATAACTTGCAGGTACGCTGCCTGCACCCTACTGTCTACTGATGTTGATCACAGTGAATACTTGTTCTGTTGCACCATGTCAATCGTAATAATTATTTAGTCCTTCGAGCCGGATATCTTTTTTACTAAAAGGATATACATTTTCTCTCAGCCTGTCTGTGTAGACGTGTGCATACTACAAGTACTACTTGCAGATTATTAATTTTTAAATATACTTGATTTGGTTACAGGACTGGCACACGTGGTTAGATAAAAACGATCTACTTACAAAAAGAATTATTGATCTATTAGAAAATGGTGAGTTAACTACATTTATTGATTACTATGTTTGTATTTATGATATAAATTGGGCAACTTACATCATTATCTCATGCATGTTTCGTTTAAAAACTTGAATTGTTACGCAGGAGGGTGGGAGGACGCGAAGCAGCTGTCGACGTTACTGCTGCCACTACTTGCTGGACTACCGCCGCACCTCGCCACCAAGGAATTCCATATTAAGTTCTTCGCAGCCATCTATAAGGGGTATGGTTTGAGCCTAATGTTGAATAGATCGTATCGTAGACGAAGCGAAACGGGTCACTTGGAGTCAAAGAGCTCGTCATTACACAGTCATCGCTATCAGTGATTGTCATTTTAGTTTTTTTATTTATAGTTATGTATGATAAAATTGGCTATCTTACGGAATACTGTATTTTACATTGAAACTTTTAACTATGTAGACACTATACAACTATGTATTTCGTATTTAGGATTACAAACATGCAATATCCTAGGATCCTTTCCGCACAGAAGTATTATAAAACAGATGGCTATTTAAGTAGTTCATTTGAAGAAAATACATTGACGTCCGATAAAACCCCTAAGTACCTTTGTTGATATCTAGCAACTTGTTTGAGCTGAACGCCATTAATACTGTAGAAAGTGTTAATTGTCGTTTTCGCGAAAATATGATGTGTGCATAGATACATTGGGAACTGTGTCATTATTGCGAGCACACCAATCAGAGACATCATTAATATTGTTTTGTAGTTATTTGGTATCATCCACCGATTTGACAATAATTAGATATTAAGATCGTCAGTGTGAAGTTTATATTGTAATAGTGTAATGTATTAACGAAGGTCATTAACAAACAACAAAAATAACATGGGACCCAGATGGGAGCCTTGGGGAACACCTGAAGGTAGCACTCCTTATTTGTATTTAAGTCTGCTTACTATTACGACTTTTTAGGTGATTATAACGATTTTCTAGGTAGGACCACTTGACCACTTGAGCCACAAATATCAGAGTGTTCTATGTTATTATTGAGAATATTGTGGTCGACGACATCAAACGTTTCACTGAAGTCAGTGCATACCGCACGTACTTCTTGACTCTCGATCACAAATATATTATGATTAGTATTCTTAGTAAATCGGTTGTCGTAGATTTGCCCGGCAGAAACGTCGTCGATGAGCACTTGTCGTGTTCGAGGTGAAAGTATATAATTTTTAGATCGTCGGTTCGTTACAGGTTGGAGAAGAAGAGCATAGCGAATTGTAAGAGCGAGCGAGAGTACTGGATAAGGAGTGCGTCGGAGTGCATGGGGTACGTGTCGTCGCTGGAGGCGGAGTACTCGGCGGAGGTGGTGTCGGGCGCGCTGCGCGGCTGGGTGGCGGCGGCGCTGGCGCCCCGCGCGGCCGCGCCGCTCGCCGCCAGCGCCGCCGCCTGGGGCCGCCTGCTGCGCGGCTGGCTGCGTGCGCCGCCCGCGCCGCGCCTGGACCTCCTCGTCAGGGGGTTCTGGCACGGCCTCGCCGCCACCCTCGCCGACCACGTGCGCGCGCTGCCCGCCGACCTGCACCAGGCCCTCCGCCTCGTCGACGCCCACCTGCTGCTGCTCCGAACTCTGAGAGCCGCCATCCGGCCCGAGCCGAGGCGGAAGCACGGCGTCAAGTTCCAGGACGAGGACGCCTCGCCGGAATCTGAGGAGCGCTCGAGTCCGACGCCGGAGTGCGACCCCGACGTCGTCGAGAGATACGATCACAACCTCCACGAGCTCATCGAGAAGGTCTGCGTCGGGTACTTCGAGTTCGTCGATAACAAGAACATCGCGGAGCCCGTTCTGAAGCCGCTCACCGCTCTGTTGCTAGAATTCGACAGGGAGCGGACGTTCGTCGGGATAGCGAAGCAGCTGGGGGCGAATTCTGTGTATGAGTTCTATGATAACGTCTTGAGACGCTGGCTCATGAACGACGCTATGCGATGTGAAGCTATCGTGGACATAGTTTTCATTATTTTAAAGTATATGACGGAAACCGAACAAGACGCTACGATGAAATCGTTCGACTCGGTGAGTACCAACCGTTTCTTTTTTCTTATATTTATAGTTTATCTTTATATATGTACATATAAATAAAATTGGAGTGGCTGTTCGTAATATTGAAAAATATGGTCAAATGGGAGTAGCTTGTGGTGCTCCCGCCCAAAGATGAGAACAGTATTCTATATGCACCGCATTTGTTTGACAAGGCTAAAATAGCCCCTAATAGGCATTAGGGGCTATTTTAGCCTTGTCCTCCAAATGATCGCAAACTGAACGTCACTGGATATATCAACGTCAAGGATCTCCAGATTTGGCTTTATATCAAGAAGGTGTCTTGAAACTGAGAGACCAGAAAACCCGGGATCCTGATGGTTGATGGTTGGAGACTGTTCAGTCTCTTACCAATTCTGCTTATGTGCTCTGACTTTGCTTTGGCTATAACTCTTTTGACTCTGGTCCGATCTACAGGATCCGCCATACCAGGACTGATATCTACCACCGACAGGTACCAGAGAATTCGGAGTAAACATCTCCATTCCCTGAAGTACTACATCGGTGACAGATTCAGCTATTACATAGGGATCGTACCAGTGCGAAACATGCTCGCCTCCCATGGTTAACAAAACTTGAAGCAACAAAACTTCGCATCTCTTTCCAATCTGCCGACATAAAATGTCAAACACGACGTCGACCAGTAGATCGCGGCAAAGAAGGACGCGTGAGAGGCATTTCGCTCTGACAATATCAGACAATGATCAGAGAATCCAAGTGGTGCTTCTACAGAGGTCAAATAGCCACCTGGATGAAAAGTCAGCAGAAGGTCTAACAGTGAAGGTATACTTATGGTCAACAACATCAGGAATTCGTGTAGGCGAGGAAACCAGTTACGCGTAACCATACGCCAAAGCGATTACATAAACAGATCTTCCATCTTCCCGCGTGAACCGAACCATTCAGCATTATGGGCATTAAAATCACCAAGAACCACGATCTCCGACGGAATCTGTTGGAGAAAAAAATCTGTAGCCATTGGACATGATCAAAGAATTGATCAGTTTCGGTGTTACCACTATGGGACCTGTATAAGCGTGTGTTGCGGGTAAATAATAAGATGTTGCTGGTCGAGACGATGTATATTACAGATAATGATAAACTGACAATATGTACATAGAAATAATGATCTTATATACTAAATAAAAATAGGAAAAAGTAAGGTGGGGTGACACAGTTTAGATACAGCAGTGCCTAGTAGACAATATTGAATTTGTCTTACTAGACATTATTAAATGCAATTATTATTTTGATGTATCTAGGTGACTGTGTCCCATACGTGCATAGATGCGTGGATGGTCATCGCAATCTACACAGTACCTTCAAATGTACCGGTAGGCGGTGACAATAAATATCCTCTCCGACATAAGACACTGGCCTGAGGAATAAAATGGTATTCCAATTTATATCCAGGGCAGGGCAGATACGAAATTTCGTCGGGACAGGATATTTGCGTCTTCGTAAGAATGCCGGCCTCGCCGTCTCTAGATGGTGGACGGCGTTCAGAATTAAATGAATGCCCATGATGTTGCAAAAACTGAGCAAGGTAAAAGCCGAAGGATTTTTGTTATGTTTCCTTTTGGCCAAATTACCCGCCATTACGAGCGCAGTATTACCCGCCCCAGATTACGCAGGGCAGGCTTAACGTGGATTCAGGGGTTCATCAGCAACTCTTGGGGTAAAAAAATATATTGTATTCGGCTGCTATGGTAAAGAAAGGGGTGGGTAGGGGAAGGAATTAGGAATGGATAAGGGGACCCCTCCCCCCTTATACATTCCTAATTCCTTCCCGTCAAAAGGGCGCCCGAAACCTCAACGCGAAACGCGATAACGTTTAACGTCGGTAACCTGCTGAGATGTAGAATTTCCCGGTTCGAGCGGCCCATTCGAGCTAAACAGCCACATATGGTCGTGCAGCTTGCTGTACTATTTATAAATCCGTAATTTCGATTCCCGAATTGGACTATCGGAGGGGGTAGTAATTTATGAAGTGAGTTGTCGCAGATGGCGTCTGTGGTGACGGAGTGGTGCTTGGAGGCGGCGCTGGCGGCCAAGGGGGGAGCGCGGGCGGCGCGGCGCTGGGCCGCCTCCCCCGCCGCCGCCGCCGCGCTGCGGGCCGCCGCCGTCCGCGGCCTGGCCGCCAGCGACGCGCGCGCAGCCAGCCTGCTGGCAGCCGGCTGCGGCGGGGCCTCCACACCAGGTACGTGTCCCCCGCCTCCCCCGCCTCCCCCGCCGCCGTCCGCGGCCTGGCCGCCAGCGACGCGCGCGCAGCCAGCCTGCTGGCAGCCGGCTGCGGCGGGGCCTCCACACCAGGTACGTGTCCCCCGCCTCCCCCGCCTCCCCCGCCGCCGTCCGCGGCCTGGCCGCCAGCGACGCGCGCGCAGCCAGCCAGCTGGCAGCCGGCTGCGGCGGGGCCTCCACACCAGGTACGTGTCCCCCGCCTCCCCCGCCTCCCCCGCCGCCGCCGTCCGCGGCCTGGCCGCCAGCGACGCGCGCGCAGCCAGCCTGCTGGCAGCCGGCTGCGGCGGGGCCTCCACACCAGGTACGTGTCCCCCGCCTCCCCCGCCTCCCCCGCCGCCGTCCGCGGCCTGGCCGCCAGCGACGCGCGCGCAGCCAGCCTGCTGGCAGCCGGCTGCGGCGGGGCCTCCACACCAGGTACGTGTCCCCCGCCGCCCCCGCCGCCGTCCGCGGCCTGGCCGCCAGCGACGCGCGCGCAGCCAGCCTGCTGGCAGCCGGCTGCGGCGGGGCCTCCACACCAGGTACGTGTCCCCCGCCTCCCCCGCCTCCCCCGCCGCCGTCCGCGGCCGGGCCGCCAGCGACGCGCGCGCAGCCAGCCGCTGGCAGCCGGCTGCGGCGGGGCCTCCACACCAGGTACGTGTCCCCCGCCTCCCCCGCCTCCCCCGCCGCCGTCCGCGGCCTGGCCGCCAGCGACGCGCGCGCAGCCAGCCTGCTGGCAGCCGGCTGCGGCGGGGCCTCCACACCAGGTACGTGTCCCCCGCCTCCCCCGCCTCCCCCGCCGCCGTCCGCGGCCTGGCCGCCAGCGACGCGCGCGCAGCCAGCCTGCTGGCAGCCGGCTGCGGCGGGGCCTCCACACCAGGTACGTGTCCCCCGCCTCCCCCGCCTCCCCCGCCGCCGTCCGCGGCCTGGCCGCCAGCGACGCGCGCGCAGCCAGCCTGCTGGCAGCCGGCTGCGGCGGGGCCTCCACACCAGGTACGTGTCCCCCGCCTCCCCCGCCTCCCCCGCCGCCGTCCGCGGCCTGGCCGCCAGCGACGCGCGCGCAGCCAGCCTGCTGGCAGCCGGCTGCGGCGGGGCCTCCACACCAGGTACGTGTCCCCCGCCTCCCCCGCCTCCCACGCCTCCCCCGCCGCCGTCCGCGGCCTGGCCTGGAAAGCAATCTTTCGACGTAATGAAAACTAACCTGACTGTATTCGTCTTTGAACGATTTCATAGAACGAAGATTTCTCTGCACCACATCTTAAATGTGATAATTTTTTTTATTTTATTTACTATCAACCGTAATTAATTACTTCCAGAGACGATAGTGAGCAGGCAGACGGTGGGCGAGATAATATCGATGTTAAACGAGGCCCTCGCGTCGAGCGACAAGGAGCGCGCAGTACGGGCGACGAACTTGGCCACGCATATACTACGCGTTCTACCGGACGCTGACTACCCGCAGTACGAGGACTTGATGCTGAACTTATTCCGGCTGGAATTGGAGGGGGTGCACGAGGAGCAGGAGGAGGAGGAGCGGAAGGAAGAGGAGCGAGGAGGAGCGGACGCGTGGCGGCGCGGACTAACAGCGCTGCGAACACGCACGCCCACCGCCCGCCGCGCGTGTGCCCTGCTGCACCGACACGTGTTCCGCAGGTACGTGCTCCTCACTCCCTGACCTCCTCACCTCCTTACCTCCTCCACATGTGCGACTACTCCGCCAACACTGCACTGTACGACCGCTATCTGAACGTATACACGCCAGACGTTCTGTGTATTACATGATTAACAGTTACGGCGAATATTACCATGTTTCTTTCAATAGTTAGTTAGTTATGTTGACTCATAATATAAACTTAAAATGATGATATAATGCATCATTCATCCATAATTTAAGAGCCCCGCTCTTGTCGATATTCTTGCCACTTTTATCATTCTCTTTAAATGTTGATACTAGGGATGTTATGGATATGAAATATCGGATACGGATAGGTTTCGGATATAGTAATGTTTATTATACCGGATACAGATATGAAATTATTTCGGATTCACCGTTAGTTTCGGATAATTTCGGTTACGGATATTAATTTGTTAAAGAATTTCAAAAGTAAAATGTAAATAGCTAATGAAATAGTTACATAACATGTCTCAATTAGGATCCGCCCCTATCCGATATTGTCAGAAACTTTTATTTCGGATTTGGTTATGGTTACGAATATTTTTTTATATCGGATATCCGATAGTTTCGGTTACGGAGCTCCCCAACATCGCTGATTGATACGACACGACTCCAATTTTGTATAATGTTAATTTGAAACGATCACCTGCCAAGTAACCTACTCGTTCTTCTTTATTAAATCTACATTCCAAATATGAGACAAAGTCCTCAGAAATACCTATTCAAAACGTTTATATTTATTTCTATATTTCAGTACGGACAAATTGGACATACCGAAAATCGAGCACGCGACCTCGCTGTGCCCGTACCTGGTGTGCGACGGCGGTCCGTCAGAACTGACGGGCTTAATCTTCGATTTCCCTCCCCCTCCCCAGACCACCGACCGCCCTACCACTGCACTCGAGCTGTTCGCATTGCGATACGACTGCATCGTCGGCAAACTCAACTGCCCCTTCGACGACGACAACGAGCACATCAAGCAGATAGTAGCAGAATCCTCGCAAGCAGACGTCGAAGAATTGACAGTAGAAGATTTTATATATAATGCCACGAAAATACTGTTCCGGTCCATCTATCTGCGCACCATGTTGCTACATACAGCTTCAATTGGTGATGATGATGACGATGATGACACGCCAGAGGACACGTGTAGTACGTTGTTGAACGACGATTATCTACGTACTGAGTTCATGAAAGTTCTAAGGGATTATGTAATTATTGAGTCGTTGTATGAAGGCTACGCGTTTGTGAGTATACTATAGTAATATCAGACCATCCGTACATTGTCTTAATCTAATTCAATTATATTTGACGACCTCGATGGTCTAGTGGTTTAGCACACAGCTTTACTTCCGATGGTCGCGGTTTCGATTCCTCACACGACACTAACATTTGTATTCCTGAATATGAAGTATGATTGTTAGGATATTTTAATATGTATGTATTTACGAAAAAAATGTATCTATGTATTTGTATCAGTTATCTAGTATTTATAACACAAGCTTTAGCTAGCTTAACTTTGGTCTAGATGGCGCTGTGTAAATTGTCCTGAGATTATTATTATTATTATTTTTAACCTCTCTGCTCTGTCACATTAGAATAGTTTAAATTTCTCGTTTTAACTAAATTTTAAAGGTTATACTTCTAAATCTAGGAGTTGAGTGGGTCCAAAAAAATCAAATTTATTTTGCTTGCACCCTATATTACAAGCAATTTGTCAATACTTTTTAACTAATTAATTCTTTAACATTGTTCGAAAGTTGTCTAATAATTCTAATTATTTTTCAGTGGCCTTATTACGAGTTAATCCAAGAAACTAAATCAAAATTGGATGCTATATTGGGAGAAATCATTCAGGAAACGCCGATATCTTTACGGAATAAAATATTAGTGGAGTTGACCGTACTAGCGGCTAAGGAAGGCTACTATTGGTCGTACGCGAGACGCTTCTACGACGTCAAGACTAAAGAATTAGCAAAGTCTTCCGAAATTGAAGAGTCTGATGGAGAAAATGCGACGATGAACATTGATAATCTGACGGAGGTGGTTACTGGAAATGGATTTTGCCATAGCTTGCAGGTACGTGTTTAAAAATGATGCTCTCCTCAGTCTTAAGCCCCATTTACACTCAGCCCGAGTGGGCAGGGAAGTGAGCAGCGCGAGAGTAAACACGATACTTCCCATGCTATTGGCGCTGCTACTCGCGTTGTCCGGCGCTCCCTCGTTTGTCGGTTTTTCGTGCGCGAGTCAAAGGACTGGCAGCGCGAGTGGCAGCGTGTTTTTACATTCAGCCCTCTCGCTCAGTTGTCGCCCGGCAATATTTCCGGCAGCGCGAGTGGCAGGGGAAGCGGCTGAATGTAAACGTAGCATTATGATTGACGCTTCTAGCATCTTCGGAACCGATTTCCAGGATGGTAACCAGGGCCGGCTAACTACACTCGCAAGCAACCAAATCGACTCAAGCGCTACCTCCTTCAAACATTGTTTTAAGCGAAAGTGTATAACATTGTAATAAAAATTATATGTTATTTGAAAGCTTGAAACTTCAGCTTTTATGAGATGTCATCATTATTAATATCTATAAATCCATTTTTTTTATGGTGACTGAACTTAAATGGGGGAAAATGGGATTTTGTGTAAAGGAGTTGTTTTCAGAATTGACACAAATAAAATACGTTATTTTTTAAGAAGTTTAAAATTTATTGGTTCAGTACTTGTTAATGCCCCTCCCCTAGCCCTTATTAGTTAGAGTAACTGCCTAGAGGACTCAATATACAAAAAAAAAATGTTTCATAGTGTGAAAATTCAAAAATATTAATAAAAAGTAATATTACGACCATGTATTTGACACATACAACGCATATATACTTGTTTATTGTGCGATTGCCCGTAATTGTGCCTGCAGTTTTTATTCTGAATGATATGGGCGCATAGTTCTCTGTAAAGTGCCACTCGTTTTTGAAATATGTCGTGACGTGTGCGTGTGGTCGCAGGCGAACAGCCGGGGGGCGGGGGCCGAGGAGGAGGGGGCGGAGGGGGCGGCGCTGTCCACCGCCCACGTGGTGATGATGCGCAGCGTGCGGGCGGCGGAGAGGCTCGCGCCCGCAGACCTCGGACAGCCGGGACCCACAGACCCCGGGCCCGTCATAGACCTCTACTACGACCGCAACCACATCATGCTCTACGACAGGTGCCACGCCACACCCCGCACTACACACTACCCACTTAGAAAATCATTTAATGAAATAAACTTAATTTAAGCACTTTTGAATAGTCAACATTTTTTTTTAAATCTACCGCTCATTCGGAAAGCTATCTCATCACAAGAAGAACGAGCAAGAAACTTCTGTGTTGTTCTTTTAAACAATCCTTGTAAGTTCACATTTTATGTATGAGTATGACAGATGGGCCAGCCATCACTGCGCTCGACCATATATTAGGGAGCCCAATGACCCGGCCCACCACGCCGCCACAAGTCTGGACATTTTAGTGAGCATGACTAGTCATTCCACTCTACCTCGCCATAGCCACTTAAATCTGCACCAGCGACTATTGAAGTAATTTTCCTTTCTATCTATAGTTCTTCCTCTAAGACAACCATAGAGTTAATATCACATCCCTAACAACTATCATAAGGCTGTAATGAGGATGACAACCCTTAACATAAATATTTATTTAGTATTGAAGCTCATTATAATTGTTTTTTAGAATTATTCTTAAGTTAGAAATCTTAAAAATTTTAAAGTATATTTTTGGAAGTGGATCATTACATAGTATAAAACAAAGTCATCGTCGCTGTCTGTCCGTCCCTATGTATGTTTAAATCTTCAAAACTACGCAACGGATTTTGAAGCGGTTTCTTTTAATGGATAGAGTGATTCAAGAGGAAGGTTTATATGTATAATACATGTACACCTGAAGGAAGCCGGGGCGAGTAGCTAGTTTTTATATAAACATGGAACCATCGGGAACAGGTCACATTTACAACAGTACCGTAAATGTATGACAATAACATGTATGTCGTACGACAGGGACATATCGGATGCGCCGTGGGCGCGGGTGGTGAGCAACGCGGCCATCGCAGAGTACTTGGCGCTGCTGGTGGCGGAGCGCGGCTGGGACATGCCGGCCCACCACTGGGACTTCACCACCATCACGCTCTGCTCGCTCTACGCCTCGCTCGACCTCTCCAAGAAGAACTGGGGCTCCGCCAAGGTGGGTCGCGTCTGCTCAATCGCACCTCTCTAAGGGATTGAAGATTGGGGCCTCGGGGTCTCTTTGCCTCGGTGTCGACTCCAGTAGTAACGACCTTTGTACAACTGGATTACGAAGCTCTTAGTCCAGACTATTGAAGCTAGGGATGTAATTTAACATAACATGTAGCTAGGGAACGTCTTACGAAGATTTTTCTACACTTTCAAAAGGGGACAACCTGATATGAGATGTTTACAATATATATAAACTAAATTTAACGTCACTTAAAAAGTCCACTTCTAAGTGGACTTCCAGATAACACAGTCATATGTGTTGCATGACTTAGCACTCAAGATCAGATTGAGGGGAAGGGGGTAGTCAGTGATGTAGACTTCCAGATAATTCTGTATGTGCTGCATGACTTAGCACTCAAGATCAGATTGAGGGGAAGGGGGTAGTTAGTGATGTGGAGTTCCGGATAATTCCGAATGCGTCGTCGGCGGAGCGTAGAGCGTGTGGTGTGCAGGTGTCGCTGGTGCACCGGAGCGCGGCGCGGCTGGCGGGGAGCGCGGCGCGGTGGGTGCGCGCGCTGCCGGCCGCGTGTGAGCGACGGCAGCCGCCGGCGCATGTGGCCGCGCTGATGCCCGAGTGGAGGAACGTGTTCGCGCCCGCACTGCTCGCCACCAGCCGCAATCTGCTGTTGCATCTGCTCGGTGCGTTACCTCTCCACGTTTGCTCACTTATATATTACTAGATACTCGCCCCGGCTTCGCCCGGCTGTACATGTATTATACATATAAACCTTCCTCTAGAATCACTCTATCTATTAAAGAAAATCGCTTCAAAATCCGTTGCGTAGTTTTAAAGATTTAATTACACATAGGGACGGACAGAACCGAAAGCCGAATCGAAAAGGAGGGTTTATTTAAAGTCAAATTAAAAATTATGAAAGTCAAAATTTTTGTATTAATATTTTTTTCTTACTATCCAGTTCAGTATACAGACGAAAAATAAATTAAGAAGAACTGGTAAGAAATTTAACTGAATTTCTTTTTTAAAAGTCAGTTTGATTAATACAAATAATAATTTTCACGAATACGAATAACGAGTAATCGAATTCGTGACCATTTGGAGTAGGACGGTGTGAATTTATTAGATTGCCGAGGCCGTTATCAAAATTCCAAATATCTTTATTTATGTAGGTCTATTACAGACTTTTATGATATATCAAATCTACCGTCCGTTCGGAATGACTTTGTGATGAGAAGAACTGACAAGTTTTCAAATCATACAAAACTTGTATGCTGATGGTTACAGAGAGTCACGCAGAGCCGATGACGTGTGGACGGGCGCGAGTACTGTCTGCGGCCACCGCAACGGAGCGGGGGCTGTCGGGGGAGGAGGCGGGCGGTGCGGGGGAGGCGGGCGGTGCGGGGGACGTGGAGGAGCTGGTGGCGGTGGTGGCGGCGTCGTGCGGCGCGTGGAGCGCGGCCGCACACCGCGGCTACCACTACCTCGCGCACGCGGCGCTGCTCGCACGCACGCGCGCCGCCGCCGCGCACGACGGTACGCACCACCACCGCCCACGACCACAGTATACACTCACACCGCTACTCCTTCTCTGTTCATTGTTTACTGTTTCAGAATGTTACGTACATAGAACGCAGCATCAGGATTTATAATAGTAGTGGTATAAATTAACGAAGCTCTGGTCTGTTACTTGTCCACTGTTTCACGATGTGGTGTATATAGATTCATGAATAAAACTCTGAGGTTATTGGAATCATAATTTCTAATTTAATGGATAATTTACAAATACGTCATATGTACTACATCAATTACGTAAATGAGGGCCAAGGAAATGAGCAATGTAATATTGTATATTCGTCGTCGTCGGATCGTATATATTCTATATACATATATGCAAAGCACATCTGTAGTATTTTTCGTCTTTTTTTTTTTATTATTCTAATGCTATCGGACCCAACTAATGTTTACAGCTTCACCAAATTATTAAGATGGCACTCCAAATCAGCGAAAGAACTTATGGAGCGGCAAAAACAAACTTCTGTCTGGCGGATACGACTTTAGTCTGAGGACTGACCTCAACTAGTGACATGAATTTCGACACTGACTATCATAATTTCTATTTCCATTTTAATCGAACGGCTGATCGGGAGGAAGAACTCGGTTTTTTTTTCTCTTCTTATGACTCCGTAATTAGTTATTCGGATACAATCGAGTGAGCACCAACTGTACAATGAAACTCGGTAACTGCGATCACAGTGACGGCGCTGGCGGAGTGGAGCGAGGGGTCCGAAGACAGCGAGGAGGAGAAGCCCCCGCCGCGGCTGGTGGTGCACCGCATGGACCGCACGTACCGGCTGGCGGCGGCGCACGCGGCGGCCACGTGCGCGGCGGCCACGTGCGCGGAGTCGACACGTGCGCGCGCACGTGGCGCGCTGCTGGTGCAGGACGCGCTGCACGTGCTGCTGGCGGCGGCGGCGGCCGCGCCCGCAGGCGGCGACCTCATGTACCACTACATACAGTTCTTCCAGTACGTACAATGCTTTATTTTGAATGTTTTGTTACTAGTTGTCCCCGCGACTTTGAACGCGTGAAATTTAACTGTATTTTTCTAAAATAAAAGTAGCCTAAGGTACTCCTTATTACATCAGCTACCTGCCAATAAAAGTCCTGTCAAAGTCAGTTCTGCCATTTCAGGGACCAGTCGGAACAAACGAACAGGCAAAAATTGTAAAAAATAATATTTTGGTGTATATACCTGGTTTGGTGTATATATATATACCTTCTTCTAAAATAATTCTATCTATTAAAAAAAACATCTCCAAAATCGGATTTGGAGCGGTTTATTTTAAAGATTTATTTGGACCTGCTTAGGGAGCAGAAGTACACGGAGCTGATGCTGCCGGTGGCGCTGCGCCTGTTGCCGGCGGCGGTGGTGAGCATGGTGCAGGACGCGCCCGAGTCTGCGCCCCCACTGCCGCAGCCCTACTACGACATGTTCAACGTCACGCGACACTACACCGTAGACGGTCAGACATCATTTTAAAAGCATCCAAAAGGATTGAATTCTTTCGATATTTTCATTTTGATTATCCATTTAATTTAGCTATTTATATTTTAAATGTGTCAATGTCGGTATATCTGCATCACACTGCTTTCTTTATATCGACGCTGTGTTTTTAGAGAAACTCATAAACGTTTTAACGATAGCAAATGTTGTTGTCATTGAATTTGTGGTGGTAAAGTGGTAATCTATGGGACACAGTTACCTATATACATCAATATAATAATTGCATTTAATAATGTCTAGTAAGACAAATACAATATTGCGTACAAAGCACTGCCGTGTCTAAACTGTGTGTGTCACTCCACCTGTTAAAACCACAAAGTCCTAAACCAAAACACTACACTCGTGTATATAAGGTTTAGTGGTCGGTTTCAAATACAGGTACAAAATATATTCATTCATTCATTCATAATTTAAGAGCTACGCTCTTGTCGGTGGAGCTCTTGCCACTTTCGCGATCTACCATCATGCTCTTGAATTCTTGATACGACACGACTCCCATTTTGTCCTCAATTTGTTTGATGTAGCTATTCCTTGGTCTTCCCCTCCCCCTCTTTACCCTCAATAATAATTTTCATGTAATTATCGTGCCGTATCAAGTGTCCTAACATTTTCCCTCGTCTTAAAATGTTATAAAGCAAAATACATATTGACTTTCTGTAAAACGGAACGTTAGCGCGTTTCAATTTTGTTACAGCGCCATCTGTTGGCGCTGCATGCAAACAATATTATTTTATGGATTATAAAGTACTTTAACATCATCTTACATTTTCTTATTGTCATTTAATATATAAGATCAATATTTTTATGTACATACTATCTGACCCCAGGAATTCCGTTTCGTCTCAGAATTAAATAATATGTCTTGGGTTTTATTAAGTTTAGTGAAGCAATAAATTCCTGAACGCACCTGATCTGTTTGATAGGTGTCAGTGGTTTGTATGGGAAAATAAAATTGTTGTTGTGGGTCTGGGCTGGGTGGGCTCTACATTTGGGGGTATTGTTCTCAAGGTGTGAAGATTTTATTAGATATTTCATTCATAATTCTTCGCTTTATCTCTGTATATTCAGCTCGTTTGTCAAAAACCATTATATTCGTATAAGTTTAGTCAAAAAGATCGCCAATTAATTTGGAGGGCGAATCGGTAGTCAAGTACTTCGTGGAGACAACCACGTATTATTAATTAGAGTCTGTTCATTCATAATTCTTCGCTTTACCTCTGTATATTCAGCTCGTTTGGCAAAAACCATTATACTCGTTCAAATAAAGTTTAATCGATATTAATTCGGAGGGAGAATCGGTAGCCAAGTACTTCGTAGAGACAACTACAAATCACTAATCGTAGTCCGTGGCGCGGCACAGAGGCGGAGGGTAGTAGCCTGGGCGCGCTGTCGTGCCGCGCGGTGTGCCACGCGGTGGGCGGGCCCGGCGCCGCCGCCGCGCGGGCCTGGCGGGCCGCGGCTCCGCCCCGTGCGGCTCGTCTATTGGCCGGGTGCGCTCGTCGCGCGGTGTCGCCCGCACTAGTGTCGGCGCAGCTGTCGCGCGTGGTGCAGGCCGCGCCGCGCGTGCCCGGGCTGTGTCTGTCGGCGCACCGGTCGTCGCGCGAGGCCAGCGCGGCCCTGACGGTGGAGGACCGCCGCCTGGAGCTGCGCGTGTGGCTGGCGGCGGACCACCCGCTCTCGCTGCCCAAGCTCGCCGCGCCGCCGCCCGGGCCAGCCTCGCCCGTCACCGGCACGCACTGGCTGCTCCTCTACCTCGGGTACCAGGTGACTACGAATGCACAGCTTCTTAGATATATCAGTTTTATACTTAAAGGAACCGTTTGGTACTTTTTTCTTTGTTAAATATTAGTATGTAATTATATAACGATCATGATAGAACATAAAATACAAGCAGATAAACCCATACCCGTATATAAATACCTGAATGATCTAAAAAGATTCGTAATAATAATAATACTCCGACGAACTTCTCCCAAAGATGCTCCAATCTCTCTAATGTGTCCATCCCATCTCTCTCTCTCATCTGCAAAGTAACTATCTTCTCATTAGACAAATATTTCTATCCTCCTCAACGCAATTTAGATAAGAAAAAAAAACTCATTTGAAACTACTAAGTAAAACCCTAAATCAAAATTTTTTGCCAAGATAACCGCTGAAATGTAAAGCAGCGCGTTGTCCTAGCAAAAATGGATTATTTTTTTCTACAATATAAACATTTCTCAGCAGTTTCTTCCTTCACCTTATCCAATAATGATATATAGCATACTTCTGTAATAATTTTTCCTTTTTAAAAATAATCAATTAAGATAACTCCATAATTATCTCTACAAGCAGTCGTCGTCACTTCCCCAGCAGAATAAACAGATTTTGCTTTTTTTGGAAACTATTCCATCTTTGCAACCCACTTAAGTGTATTTTTGTTTCAAGTATATAAGGGTGTATCCAAATTTGATATACAATATTTAATTCCTACTCTGATTTATTGCGCCAACAGAACGTTGTATACTTTCGACCACGTTTTTGGTCTAACATTACCAAACCCAGCATCGAACACGCCAACAGCTTTTTAATGTCTAATTCATTGGACATTTTCATTACCTCTGCTATATATCTCACTTTAATTCGATCGTCTGATACTGTCTGGTGAACTTTAGCAATGTTATCATCGTTATTTGCAGTTTTTGGACGTCCCGAAAGTTCATCATCTCCCAAGTTACGACCACGTTTAAATTCAGCTACCCAAAATTTCACTGTGGTAAATGATGGTACAGAGTCGTCGTACACAGAGTCTAAGTCTTTGATTTACATAAACGTATTACCTTTCAAAAATATAAAAGCATAAACTGACTCAAGTAATTAAATTTGATGAGTAACTGTCATAAGATGTACACTACGTTCACTAGTGTGTTCGGAAGAGTTCGGAAACTTCAGACCATCAATTTGGCCTTTTGTATGATAATGAACCTTTTTTTTTTTTTTTTAATCTTACATTTATTTAGGGACTTTTATCATAATATGATAATGCCAGTCCCATCGTATCTTATTACTATAATGAACCTTATACAGCATATGTTTAAACACCATTTTGCTTGGCTCCACAGAACGGATCGGTGCTGACGGCGATGCAAATGTGGGCGGAAGCAACAAGTGCGCGCGTGGCGAGCTACTCGCAGTGCTACGTGTGCTACTGCCGCCTGCACCCGCGCACCGGTCACCTGCCCAGGATGCAGTGCGCGCAGTGCAAGAACAGGTTCCACGCGCCCTGCATGGTACGTGCCCCGCTCTATCTCTCTCTCTCTCTCTCTGTCTCTGTCTCTGTCTCTCTCACACACGTGGCGAGCTACTCGCAGTGCTACGTGTGCTACTGCCGCCTGCACCCGCGCACCGGACACCTGCCCAGGATGCAGTGCGCGCAGTGCAAGAACAGGTTCCACGCGCCATGCATGGTACGTGCCCCGCTCTATCTCTCTCTCTCTCTGTCTCTGTCTCTGTCTCTCTCACACACGTGGCGAGCTACTCGCAGTGCTACGTGTGCTACTGCCGCCTGCACCCGCGCACCGGACACCTGCCCAGGATGCAGTGCGCGCAGTGCAAGAACAGGTTCCACGCGCCCTGCATGGTACGTGCCCCGCTCTATCTCTCTCTCTCTCTGTCTCTGTCTCTGTCTCTCTCACACACGTGGCGAGCTACTCGCAGTGCTACGTGTGCTACTGCCGCCTGCACCCGCGCACCGGACACCTGCCCAGGATGCAGTGCGCGCAGTGCAAGAACAGGTTCCACGCGCCCTGCATGGTACGTGCCCCGCTCTATCTCTCTCTCTCTCTCTCTCTGTCTCTGTCTCTCTCTCACACACGTGGCGAGCTACTCGCAGTGCTACGTGTGCTACTGCCGCCTGCACCCGCGCACCGGACACCTGCCCAGGATGCAGTGCGCGCAGTGCAAGAACAGGTTCCACGCGCCCTGCATGGTACGTGCCCCGCTCTATCTCTCTCTCTCTCTCTGTCTCTGTCTCTGTCTCTCTCACACACGTGGCGAGCTACTCGCAGTGCTACGTGTGCTACTGCCGCCTGCACCCGCGCACCGGACACCTGCCCAGGATGCAGTGCGCGCAGTGCAAGAACAGGTTCCACGCGCCCTGCATGGTACGTGCCCCGCTCTATCTCTCTCTCTCTCTGTCTCTGTCTCTGTCTCTCTCACACACGTGGCGAGCTACTCGCAGTGCTACGTGTGCTACTGCCGCCTGCACCCGCGCACCGGACACCTGCCCAGGATGCAGTGCGCGCAGTGCAAGAACAGGTTCCACGCGCCCTGCATGGTACGTGCCCCGCTCTATCTCTCTCTCTCTCTCCCCCTCTCTCTCTGTCTCTGTCTCTGTCTCTCTCACACACGTGGCGAGCTACTCGCAGTGCTACGTGTGCTACTGCCGCCTGCACCCGCGCACCGGACACCTGCCCAGGATGCAGTGCGCGCAGTGCAAGAACAGGTTCCACGCGCCCTGCATCTCTCCCTCTCTCTCTCTCTCTCTCTCTGTCTCTGTCTCTGTCTCTCTCACACACGTGGCGAGCTACTCGCAGTGCTACGTGTGCTACTGCCGCCTGCACCCGCGCACCGGACACCTGCCCAGGATGCAGTGCGCGCAGTGCAAGAACAGGTTCCACGCGCCCTGCATGGTACGTGCCCCGCTCTATCTCTCTCTCTCTCTCTCTGTCTCTGTCTCTGTCTCTCTCACACACGTGGCGAGCTACTCGCAGTGCTACGTGTGCTACTGCCGCCTGCACCCGCGCACCGGACACCTGCCCAGGATGCAGTGCGCGCAGTGCAAGAACAGGTTCCACGCGCCCTGCATGGTACGTGCCCCGCTCTATCTCTCTCTCTCTCTCTCTCTCTGTCTCTGTCTCTGTCTCTCTCACACACGTGGCGAGCTACTCGCAGTGCTACGTGTGCTACTGCCGCCTGCACCCGCGCACCGGACACCTGCCCAGGATGCAGTGCGCGCAGTGCAAGAACAGGTTCCACGCGCCCTGCATGGTACGTGCCCCGCTCTATCTCTCTCTCTCTCTCATTTATTTTCATAAAATGTCATATACGGACCAAAAATATTTAACTCCATTCTTACACATGTTTATACTATTTAACTTACTTGTAACAACATACTTATTACACGTGCCAATTTTAGTCCTTGCAACTTCCTAGAACTCTTATCGCTGGCACGTGGCACATAAGCAACGCAGCTGCACGACCTATTATACAAGCCGTTGCTATCTGCGGCAGCGCGTGTACGCGACACGTGTAACTTGGTATATAAGCTCAACATAAAAAAAACATCTATTCTGTCTCTCGCCTCTACCATTTGAAGCTTCCAGGTTCTCGACGAAGTAGATCCTAGACCTAAACCCTAAGGGGACATGTACAGATTCACCCCCTTAAATACTTACGCCATCTAGTGATACAGTTGTAGAACTAAAAAATAAACCTCTCATTTGATTGTACACTGTATGTTTGTGGTGCAGCGCAAGTGGTTCTCGTCGAGCGGCAAGTCCAACTGCCCGCTGTGCCGCGCCGCTTTCTGATAGTACGCCAGCCGCCTCCCGAGGGCGACAACCTACAGAAGATAAAATTCCTCTCACCTCATGTATCTCTAGTACGGGGAGACTTCACCAGACCAGCTAACATGCTTTGTATAAGCCCACTGATACTCCGCATCTTGTAGGACAGTGGTTCCCAATTAGTTTTTGCTGCGTACCACCTCAAAAAAGACCTCAAACCTTGCGTATCCCTTATTGTAGCGATCATACTAATGCGACAAAAACCGAACTGGCGGGAAGCAGGAATGGGTGACGGGTGACGGGAGCAGCCGAATGACGAGATGTGGCAACTGCACGGTCGGTCACAATGCTCAGTGCACGATCATCATCATCATCATCATCGCAGCCCGGAAGACGTCCACTGCTGGACATAGGCCTCCCCCAAAGATCTCCACGACGATCGGTCCTGCGCTGCTCGCATCCAATGCCTTCCCGCGATCTTGACCAGATCGTCGGTCCACCTTACTGGAGGCCTTCCCAGTGCACGATGATCGTTATAAAATAATATTTCGGAAATTGTTTTTTTTTACTACAAGCTTGATGCAACTTCACGTACCCCTGGAGGTACGCGTACCACTAATTGGGAAAAACCGTTCTAGAACGATGCTGCGTAACATAAAACGGCAATCAGAGGTCATCGGAATTAGTTTCGTACCTATTTATTAAATCATAGCTACTCGCCCCGGCTTCGCACGGGTGTACATGTTTTATATATATAAACCTTCCTTTAGACTCACTCGTCTATTGAAAAAACCGCTTCAAAATCCGTTGTGTACTTTTAAAGATTTAAGCATACATAGGGACGGATAGACAGCGACTTTGTTTTATACTATGTAATGATAAAGTAGTAATTAATGTAAATTAATAAAGTATATTGAAATTCTGTTATTAAATAAATGTTTTTAAATACTGCTAGTAATAAATTTTCCTTATTATATTATACTAAGCGTCAATACGACGATTAAGAATATTCCGATAAATATGGAAATAATATTAATTATTTGTAAAAAGTACAGTTTTTAAAAATATAATGAAA